CCCGGTCCCAACCCTTAGGACCATACCAGTCAACCCCCGGTCTCTAGACCCGGAGGCAGTCATCTCGCGGCGCTTTGGGATCTGGCAAGGAGACAAGTGCAGACCGATAGATGATTTCCGGGCTTCGGGAGTCAATGCTACCACGTCAGCGGAGGACTCAGTTACCGTTCATTCGGCGGACACCATCGCTGCTTCCATCGCCTACAGGTTGAAGGTGGATGACAAATGCCGTCGGTATGGCGGGCTCGAGATGAAATCGTATGATCTTCACAAGGCCTACAAGAACCTTCCCCTCAGTGCCGGGGCGGTGGAAATTGCGTACTTGTCGGTGTACAATCCAGACAAGAAGACCGCCGAGGTCTTCGAGCAGTGCGTGCTGCCCTTCGGGGCGCGTGCCTCTGTGCACTCCTTTTGCAGGACCTCACTTGGGATATGGACTTCAGGGGTCCAGATATTACTCCTGACTTGGTCGGTATATTACGATGACTTTGTGAGTTGCGAGGTCCCACCACTTACAAGGATTTCCGACTTGTGCGCGGAGTCTCTGTTTCGCCTGCTGCAGTGGGACACGTCTCCGGACAAGCCCACAACCTTTGGTAGCATCGCTAAGGTCTTGGGCCTCGAGTTCGACCTAGGAGACACTCGTCTTGGGCGTTTCTACATGCGGAACACCGCCAGCAGGCGTGATGAACTTCGCGGTAACATTAGCAGTATCCTTGAGCAGGGGAGCCTGCCTAGGAAGGAGTGCGAGAGACTTCGGGGAAGGCTTCAGTTTGCATCTAACCAGATAGCGGGAAAGCGGGCTGGCAGGGCCTTCAAAGTTTTGATGCGGCATCTTGTCAGCAACCGCTCGGCGTTGGGCGATGATCTAAAGCTCGCTTTGCTCTTCCTGCGTGACTGCTTTCTGGACGGACCGCCGAGATCCTTGAATGCAAACATCCTTCACCTTTGGCGCATCTACGTGGATGCTTCTTGTGACGACAACAAGGTCGGCCTGGGAGGCGTGCTTGTCTCAGAGCAGGGATCAAAGGTTGCATACTTCAGTGAGTGGGCGGCCGACGAGCTGAAGGAAATCGTCGCTCCAACTAGCAAGAATCCAATCTTCGAGTTCGAGTGCTTAGCTGTGTTGCTTGCCATCAAAACTTGGTCGGGCCTGATCGGCGGCTGCAGTCTGGTAATCTTCTCTGACAACGAGGGCACGAAAGCTTGCCTGGTCAAGGGCTCTTCCGACAACGAGGTGGGCATGGCCATCGTCGACAACGTCCATAAATCATTGGACGATGCGGGCTGCAATGCATGGTTCGAAAGGGTAAACACCGCTTCGAATGTCTCGGACGGGCCATCAAGGGGTGATCAGTCTGAAAGCCTGGGAGTACGTTTCGTGACAGATGCAACCTCAGTTGCGCGATCAGCGCTGGTTCCTTGGGGTAGCGTCAACGCATGATGCGCTCTATGCACTGATGTGCATAGGTCTGGCTGTTGCACGTGGGGTGCATCAGCATTTGTGCATCGCGGTATGCACTTCAGCTCTTGTGACTCTTGTGCATCACGGCATGCATCAAGGATGGAACTTTTGCATCTCTCTCGAGAACGGGTTCTCCCCGAAGCTTTCGGCACTCCGCCAGAGAAAAAGAACGATGGTCGTCCGAGTGATTGCAGATCCAGTTTATCATATCCTTTTGTATTATAAGGATTCCGAATTGCAATATGATTTCTCATATTGGAGTTGCTTTTCAATATTCTGCACAAATTATACGGAACATGGAAATAAGGTAGGAAGATCGGCAGATTTGCGCCGAAGTAGTAGTCGGTAGGTATGTCGGTATACTTGGTAGGTAGGTGGGTCTACGTAGGTAGGTAGGTGGTAGGGAGGTAGGTAGGTAGGAAGATCGGCAGATTTGCGCCGAAGCAGTAGTCGGTAGGTACGTAGGTATACTTGGTAGGTAGGTGGGTCTACGTAGGTAGGTAGGTGGTAGGGAGGTAGGTAGGTAGGAAGATCGGCAGATTTGCGCCGAAGCAGTATAGTCGGTAGGTGTGTAGGTATATTTGGTAGGTAGGTGGGTCTACGTAGGTAGGTAGGTGGTAGGGAGGTAGGTAGGTAGGAAGATCGGCAGATTTGCGCCGAAGCAGTATAGTCGGTAGGTACGTAGGTATACTTGGTAGGTAGGTGGGTCTACGTAGGTAGGTTCGTAGGTAGGTAGGAAGATCGGCAGATTTGCGCCGAAGCAGTAGTCGGTAGGTATGTAGGTATACTTGGTAGGTAGGTGGGTCTACGTAGGTAGGTAGGTGGTAGGTAGGTATCAGAGTCAACCTTTCCCCCCCGGCTCCGAACGACCATCTTAACTTGCCCGCCCACCCCTTAGAACCACCCCGGGGGTTCGCAGAACCCTCCCCTGCATATGGGTGTCATTGTCATTACCATCACATACTACCTAATTATACAAAAAGAAACGTATTATGGATGCGACAAAATTATGCTGCTTATTGTTATAGTCATATTTGGGACTTAGATACTATGACTATGATTACGTGATTTAGGGTTTTGGGTTCGGGGCTAAAGTTCAAAGCTCAGTTGCAGGGTTTAGGGTTTAGGGTTGGCACAAACATCCGAAACTTTAGCCACGAGTGCTCGAAAACTTCCTCAGCCCTGAAACCCTAAGCCTTAAGCTTCCGTAACTCCCCAAAAAATAACCCTGGAACCTGACAAACCCTAAACCCTGAAGCCTAAACCCTAAGCCCTAAACCCCAAACCCACTCTGAACCCTGAACCCTAAACCCTGAACCCTGAACCCCTACGTCCTAAACCCCAAACCCACCCTGAACCCTAAACCCCGAACCCTACACCCTAAACCCGAAACCCTTAAACCCAAAACAAACCCTAATTTTTTTGAACCCTAAACCCAAAATAATACCAGAGATTATGTATTCATAACTATTACACATGTTGGTGGTATGTGGTAAGGACCAAACTACTACGATTCAAGGAATTGTTGGATACCCAAGTAGCCTAGGTATCCAGCCTGAGTGACTGAGGGAGTGAGTGTGAAAGTGAGGGTGACAGAGGAGGAAGAATGACAGAGAGAGCGAGTGAGTGAGTCAGTGTGAGACTAAGAATGAGACGGACAGTGGTACCTAGGCTGGGTATTGAAATATTGATAGAGTAGTACTGGAAAACAAAATAAAAAGTACTAGACTGCTCTTACTGTATAACGACGAGACTTCTTTCTGCACGAGTCACTAGCATCACTTACATAACAAGCCTGGGTACCCAGGCCGGGTACCCAGGCTGGGTACCCAGGCTGGGTGCCCAGGGCGTGTTCATGCACTCATACAGCCCAGGCTGGGTACCCAGGCTGGGTACCCAGGCCGGGTGCCCAGGCTGGGTGCCCAGGTCGTATCTCAGTTTCATACACTGATACAGTATTACTGTAACGTTGGTAAGACTGATACCAGAGATTATGTATTCATAACTATTACACGTGTTGGTGGTATGTGGTAAGGACCAAACTACTACGACTCAAGGAATTGTTGGATACCCAAGTAGCCTAGGTATCCAGCCTGAGTGACTGAGGGAGTGAGTGTGAAAGTGAGGGTGACAGAGGAGGAAGAATGACAGAGAGAGCGAGTGAGTGAGTCAGTGTGAGACTAAGAATGAGAAGGACAGTGGCACCTAGGCTGGGTATTGAAATATTGATAGAGTAGTACTGGAAAACAAAATAAAAAGTATAGATTGCTATTACTATATTACGACGAGACTTTTTTCTGCACGAGTCACTAGCATCACTTACATAATAACAAGCCTGGGTACCCAGGCTGGGTACCCAGGCTGGGTGCCCAGGCTGGGT